GGCTGTGTCCGGCACGGGGCAGCCCCGGCCGCTCCTCACAGGGGCCGCCCGCAGCCCCCCCGCCGCCAGTGCCTGGGCACCTGCACCGTTGCCATACAGCATGGATACTCTAAGCTGTGAACGGACAAAACAGTCCTGCAATTCCTGATCTCCACATGTTCGTAAGACCTGAGACTCTGTGACTTTTCAAAAAAATCTGGCTAAGCCTAACTGACATCCGTCACCTGAAAGTTAGTTGCCTGGGCGAAGTTACATGCAGTGGCTTTGCTACATGTAATTTGGAGGGAAGGTTCTTTCAGAGATTGACATCAGTGTTGAATTGAGTCAGAAGTCAGGACAACTGGTTTTTTTCAGATGCCTGAATTTTAGTTGACTGGAGTGACATGTGTCCCAGCCTGGTATCTCATGGTGAACACTCAGAATCAAAGATTGCTCCTGAAATTTTGCTGTAAAATTTACTCTGGAGTGTGCTGTGTTGTACAAAGCAGATGTAGCCCTTTCTCCTCACTTTCTGAAGACAGGCAGAGTAAGTAACTTGAGGGTAAACAGAGTTTTTGATGGATATTATATATGCAGTTTTATTTCAGGTCCGCCAAATGCATTGGTGTAGCCTGTGTGCATTTGCACGCCTGCATGCCATTGGAAATGCTTGCGCCTAGCTGTAACACCACTAGGTGACTTTGCCAATCCGTCACCTGTTTTGGGATGCTCAGCACAAGCGGTGCCATGCAGCCCGAGCAAGTGGATGTGTTGTGTGCCCTGATGTTGTTCTGGGATGAGATTAATTTCAGCACGCTCATATTAATCCATTATATGTCTCTTTCCAGCACAAATGGACCCCCGAGGCCTATCTCCCAGACAAATTAAAAGTGACAGTGATGATGACGACCTGCCAAATGTGACCTTAGATAGCGTTAATGAAACTGGATCTACAGCGCTCTCCATAGCCAGAGCAGTACAAGAGTAAGTATCACATTCCCAGAGCAAGATGAGTGTTGCTGAGGTGTCCGTGGACCGTTGGAGGCACCGGCCCTCGGCAGCACTGCAGGGGTGTCCCACCAGCTGCGGGCCAGCACACCTGCCAGCATCTTTTCTGTGTAGCTTTGTTCCCTTTAGGAAGAGATGGCTGTATCTCTCATCTCTCTCTGATTCTCTTTTCCTTTCTTTCTCTCTGCCCCCATTATTAGGTAAAGTTTCAAACTGAAATTGTTTCTTCCCCTTTATTTACTTGCAAAGCTTGCAGTGTTTTTATATCCTCTCTAAAGGGAGACCAGGTTAGACTTTCACTCAAAAACCATGAATTTTTTTCTTGACTGACAGCAGCATCAAGAAGTTCATTCTAGTTGCTGTCAGATAGGAACTACCTACATTTCTCCTGAAGGACAGTGTCATTGAAAGGAAATGAGTAAGGGGCTTTGAACAGTTTTTCCACTGCTGTTATTTTTCTATGTACTTGTACTCACTAGACAGACAAATAAGTTCTTAATTTAATGTCTGTATTGCTTGTTTGGAAAAAAAAAAAAGAACAGTTTATCATGAACATTAGCAATTCTGTAGATGCATGAGCTTGCTCAGTCACTGTAGCAGCTGGAAGGGAACCAACTGTGAGGTAAATAAGTATTAATATCCCCATTTTATAGGTGAGGAAAATGAGGTTATGCGTAAAGGTCACCCTGTAGGTCTGAAGCAGAGCTGGAAATAGAACTAGAGCCTCCAGGCACTGAAGCCTGTGCTAGACCCACAAAACAACACATTACTTTATCTGAGAGGTTCAAAATATGGGCGTTCTGGACATTATTAAATAGGAAGGGATATAATAAAGGCCATTAGACATTGTTATTATATAATTTATTATAGATGCATTTTAAATGTCTTAACATGGTATCTAAAAGTACTTAATGTTTTGCTTTGTTTTCCTGGCCATCAATAGCCAAAGGCACTGATGTTTCTAAGCCGTGTGTGAGGAGGAACTACTTTTTTTGTGTTTTCACCAGACATCTGCTAATTCATCTTCTAGTCAAGCACAGTAACTGTGATCCTCAAACCTATATTCCCCTTAAGCAGAGAGGGAGGTCTTTATGGGCAAGGCAAGGCGTTGGCTCTCACTGTAATTAGCACGGTTCCCTTCTGACGGTGATAAAGGAAGGGAAGGTTTCTTCACCAGTGACGCTATTGCTTGAAAGACAGTCCTAGCACATATTTTGAATTCACTAGTTACAACACCAGGCCCTGAAATGCGAAGTATTTTTTCTCAGTTTATAGCACACATAATAAGCCTGAAAAATAAAACAACCTGTCATGATTTTGCACTAAATAGTTCTGTCTAATTAATGAAAAGAGGATGCATGGGTCGCTAGCAAATACTTTTAATATGTAACTGGCAGGCAGATACTGTTCTCTGTGATTGATACTGCTTGAACACTTAGAGAATTGGTCAAACCATGAAAAACTTTTTTAGCTTTTCCACAGTGCATTCCACAGTTTGTGAAGGTAGATGTGTTGAATATTACTTGGCTGGCTCTGGAGCTTAAGAATTAAATTAAGAAATTTAATAATATAACATCAACTCATCCTTGTTACAGGTTTTATTTAAACAGTAATTTGTTAGTTTATTTCAAAAGCCCCATTAGGAAAACCTAATTTGACTGTGATCTGCAATTTGTCTTCTTCTTTACTTCATTCTCAGTCACAGATGCAACACATACAGCTGCAGAGCTGAAAAGAGACATTAGCACATTATACTGACTTCACTCAATCCATTTCTTTCTCAGTCTATAACATAGTGCTTTACAGGAAGGGTCTATTCTGAATTTAGGCATCTAACATGTACCTTAATATTAGACATTTAGCAAAGCAGTCTACTGAAAATAAAAGCCTGCATTCTACGTACCCTTGTTGGAGAGAGGAAGGTGCCTTTCAAGCCTTCCAAAGGGAGATCCTGTGTGCTCAATTTCAGCATCTAAACTTAGCAGACAGGAATTTCCTCTGAGGATGTGGAAAGGCACCTACTGTTCTGATGAATAACCGGGCAGCGTAGGGGCATGCATAGAAAGGCTGCTTCAGCAGGCAATAAAGTGTAGGTCTAAGCTCAGTGCCTAAGTGAGGCAGGCTGGACCTCAGAGTCTAGAAGACTGTCCCACAGAGTGTGTTCTTTCTTATGTGAGCTTGTAAGCTCGCTCTTATGAATAGTTATACAGTTAACAACAAAAAATAACTTTTTGCATATACTGGCTGGGAAGTACAGCATGGCATCTCCAAAGAGATGGCAGCATCGTTTCCTTCAGTACCAGATTGCTGTTGTGCAATCTTGTCTTTGTTAAACAAAATACCAAGACTAGTTTGTAGATGATGGTGGCAGGTGCAAGACAACAGTTGACCTTTTTCTGGTTGGTTTTCAGACATATTTTAAATTACCCTGCATAAGGATTAAAAATATATATATATGTATGTATATATATTTGCCTATTGCCACCTATTCTTCAGGAGCAATGGGATTTCAAATACCCTGTGGTGGATTTTTGCTTTGGGTGGGTCCTGTGCTGCCCCTCACACAATATGTGGGGCTGGGGGGTATTGCCTTAGTGAGGCTCCTGACTTTCCCTGTGTGCTGTCTGTGGGGTTCAGGGTTTGTCTTGCCTAGTTAGACATCTGCAATGTAGGCATCTGCATCCGAGCTAGTTATCTTGCCTCCCTGAATGTGGGCTGGAGAGCAGTTGGCGTGTCCAGGCAGTAATTCTTTTGACCTATTCTAGCTGTCTAATTTAGGGAGAGAGAGAGACTCAAGCCCATGAGTGCTCGTTCCTCTCCATTGACTGCAGGTGATGCAGACAGCTGCCTGGGACACACATGTCAGCACTGCAGATCTCTGGTGTGAGGTGAGGGGATGGCAATCCACACTGCCTGACTGGGGAGTCAGCGTGCCAGAAACTGGGAGTGACCAGACGATACTGAATGCTCCAGCATCTTCCCTTGGATCTAAATCTGCAATGCCAAGGTTTTAACCACAAGCTGAAGGAAGTAACTAGTCAGTGTTTGGGGAGGAACCATTGTTTTAATAACAGCCATTTTTAAGCTTGTTGTCTTGGAAATTACCCTTATGTGGCTGGGTCACAGGACAGTTTGGAACACCTATATGAAAGCTTTGCTTTTCATGTCCTCTAAAACTGGAAGGCATCTGCCTGTGTTGCTGCTTTGTTTCAGGTCCACTATATTCTCAGAGGAAAAACATTCTTACCAGTAAAAATTGCGACAATCAGACACTAAAAGCCACGTGTTTGGCATTAGTTCCTATTTACTTAAACAGAATGTGATTTGCTTGCATATTTGTAAAATAACCAAGTATGACTATTTTTTCTCAGGGAAATTGCCTTCTTGCTGCTAGCTTTGTATTGGCTGAGCTTCCAGACTTCTCAGTAGTTCTTTTGTAATGACTTCATAGTCCTTCTTCAGTTCAGCAAACCCAATCAATAATGTAAAGTTATTGATAAACAAAGTCATTATTTCAAGCAGAGTACTTTAGTGAAATTTCTTTATGTGACAGTGCTGCTTTATGGCAGTTGCTATGCCTTACCATAATACAGACTAAGAATAATTTATTAATTTCAGATAATATGCTCTGGCTGATAATACATATTGCAGCAGTATGTAGATTTCAGCGGGCTTTGCATTGTAAGCAGCATTTCATCCTTTTTGTAGCATGTTTTACAAACTCATTTTGACATGTAGCTCTCTAACAAAGAGCAGATTTGCCTCTATACGCCTGACACCACTGATGCTTATTACACAACAAGAATAGCATCATATATTCAGGGTCAAATCTCAGATAGACTCTAGAAATCTTTATGAAGCCAAGGGAAGAGAAGGCATTAGTCAAGCCCTAGAAGACCAGTAAAACTTTTTATGGGCCCATCTCAGAGGCAACATGCTGTTCCCTCATCCTGGCAGCCCTGATGTAGCGGGGCTCAGGAGCCATCTCCATGGTACGTAGTAATGCAAACCCTGAACAGGGCATTCATCTCCTTCTTTCCCTGCACACTTATTTTATGTTACTTTACAGCATGCAGCTCTTTCTCCCTGAACATGCACAACGTAAGATCTCCTGCTTGCTGAGGGCAGAAGCAGGAGAGGCAGAGGGTGATTTTTAGCATGAACTTTTGATCAGTGTGTCGGTAAAAATCCAAAGATCCAGAAATTCCTCCTTCTGTCTCTAGCCTTTTTTCTCCTTAGGGGTTGTAGGCAGAGGGAACTCCTTTGACAAAATCGTTTTTTCTTTCAAATCAAGTCAAGGAAAAGATGGACTGTGCATATAAACTTATGATGGTTGCTTATTTTTCTGCGGTAATGGAGAGACAGAAAATTCAGAAAGGAAATCCTGAATACTTGTAGTTATAGCTGCGGTTAATTCATAGAAATGTGGTTTGTCATTTGGATGTGACTATGGTGACCTTTAGAGTGAACTCTTCTTTGCGCTGAAGCTGGGTGCCACTGAATGTTTGTATGAAAATGAGATTAGGGGCTTCGACCCTACCCCTATTCTCTTTGGCTGCATTATGTGATGATACATTGATGCTGATGTGATCATCTTACTTTATTTTTAAATTGTGCTGGCTTTTATTGCAATACTGTGGAAGATAGTTTTGGATACTGCACTAGTGAAAAAGAAATTCCACAGCAGACAGACAGCATAGCCACATTACCAGTGTACTCTCTTAAACTGGTATGTATTTTTCGAGTCTGAATTTTTCTCCTTAGATTTTTTTTCTCCCTCCTCTTCTTCAATGTAAATCAACTTCTGTGGTTGATTTTTATCTCTTTTCAGGTTTATAACTGTGTTCCCATCAACCATTCATTTTCTATACCGATATTGTCTGTTTTCCTGCTTCACCTGCAATCATTACTACCATTATAGGGAACTTTCACCTCAGTTTTTTCTTCTACTTGCAGACAAAATACTTTGTCCTGAA